GATTGTGAACTTTAGGAATCTTGATTTATAGAATTTATGAACTAATTATTAGGTTGAACTTTAGAAATCTTGATAAAATATAGTCTTTATGAATTATTTGTAATTTTGAAACGAATTTTGAAAGACTTTTTAAGTCTTTAAATTGTAATTTAGATATTTTTAAATGTTAATTTAAGTTTGTTGTTTTATATTTTGTGTAGCTTCTTTATAATGTTTTGTGTTTGATTGGGGTTGAACTGGAATTGAATTGCTTTTGCAGGTGGGCAGCAGAAACTGGCAGTTTCTGCTATCAAAAAATTTGCAGAAAAAGCGATGAACAGGGTGGTTTTGTCCGTCACTTTTCTGAATTTTATTTTTTTTAAAACCCAGAAAAGCGACGGACAGGGTCCTTTAGTTCGTCGCTTTTCTGGATTTTTCAAATTTTTATTTCCAAAAAAGCGACGGACAGCGTCTCATTGTCCGTCGCTTTTCAAGATTCTAAAAAAATTAAAAATTAATTAAAGCGATGGACTTCGTCTCTTTTTTAAAATAAAATAAAATTTAAAAAATGTGACGGACGGCGTCGCATTCTTCAAAAAAAAACAATAAAAAAAAAAAAAAAAAAGCGACGCAGTTCGTCGCTTTTGAAAAAGTGTTGAGCCAAAAAGCGACGAGATTGATTGCGTCGCTTTTTGGCAGTTTTTTAGTAGTGCTTCTGCTTCTCCACCACCTGAGGCACCACAACTACATCCTGAGAAGCTCAGGATGAAACCACAAAACCATCGTAAGCATGGTTCTGTGGACAAGCAATCGGAGGTTTGTTTATTTGTTTCTCCACATTTTCTATAGAGATCAATGAACTTTTACACTATTATGTCACCTAAAAAATAATTACTCCGTACAAGTAACTGTTTGGACTTGCTAAACACAAAATGGTAGGCAATTTGCTACAATAGAAAATTCTTTATGCTATTATCCGTGTATATAAATAAGATCGGTAAACATAAAGATAATTTATGTATGTTTGCGGCAGTAAATTTTGTGTGGATATTCTATGGCAGGGTTGGAAAACAGAAGGTGCTGAAGCAGAGTGATGTTGGAAATCTTGGAAGAATTGTGCTTCCAAAGGTACTTAAATTTTGTCATCATGAATTTTGATATGTATTAATTTCAGGTTTTTAGTTAATATGACTGGAAAATTCTTAATTTTGTTAACAAATAGAAAGAAGCAGAATCTCATCTGCCAAAACTTGAATCAAGGGATAGAATTTCAATTGCTATGGAAGATATTGTAACTTCTCGTGTTTGGAACATGAAGAATAGGTGTGTAGACTCAATTTTAATGGAGATGACCACTAGTTTAGTTTAATTTTTTTTCCCTTATAAGAACAAAAGAAACTAGTCCATTTTTATTCGAACTGCAAATAAATTTGTGATTTATTTATTTATTTGGGTGTTTTAGATTTTGGCCGAATAACAAGAGAAGGATGTACCTTCTGGAGAACACAAATAATATAAACACATTCCACTATGATCCTGCTAACATCTTACTAAAAGATACTTCTGGTCTGTTTCAATTTGTTTAACCTATTTTTCTTTTTAGTCTGTTTCAAGAAGAATGACTCTTTTCCTTTTACGAAATATTATTCGTACACTTTAACATGGATTAGTAAATCATTTGACTTGATAGTGTAAAAAATTGTAAAAGTTAGCTAGCTGAACAAGATTTATTGATAAATAAATGAATGGTTCTCCAGGAGATTTTGTGCGAGATAATGGACTTCAAGAAGAGGACTTCATCGTAATATATGCAGACATCAAGTGTAGCAAATATGTAAGTCCATATATACTTACAAGTATTTATCTTCAAATCACTTCTGGTGTTAATTAATTTGCTGGATAGATAATTGTTGAATGTTACATGCATCAGTTGATACGGGGAGTAAAAGTTAGACAAATTGGACAAAAAGCAGATAGCAAGAAACCAGCAAAGAAAAACGCCTGCAATTCGTCTTATTCCAAAGTATGTTATAACACGTTTCATTAGTATTTATGGAGAAAAATGTGTGTAGATGATACAAAATTGTTGAGAATTACAAGTGTGCGGCCTGTAAATATAGTACTCTATTTCTCCCAATTTATATGACTTACTTTCTTTTTTAGTCACAAAAAAGAATGATAGATTTCTTTAAGTAGTTAATTTAATTTTAAAATGTTCATTTTACCCTTAATGAAATAATTTCTAGCCACATAATTAATATTTATGACTTATTTTAGACTACAAATTTCAAATGTCTTTCTTTTTTCTTAAACTCTGTAAAAAGTAAAACTAACTCATACAAATTGGGACAAAGAGTGTGCGTGCGTGCGTGCGCGCGTGTGTGCATGTGTGTGAGGGTTTTCTTTGATTGATCACTTTAACAATGTTCACTAGTTTAGTAAAAATTTCAATTGATTGACCAATCTAGAAAATACAAAGCATCATTAAAGACTAAGGATGGAAAAAAACTGACTTAATAACATAAGAACTCCATAACCTTTTATTTTGTGATCTAAAACCTCATAAAAACAAGGGACTCAATAAAAAAAAAGTAAGAATTGACCATAATAAAAGACTCGATCGCTGGTAAAGTCTTCTCCAAACATAGCTTGAATTTCAAGAACTCCAACTATAACTCCATGATAATTTTGAGTTCAAGATCCCTCCTACTCTTCTGGCTCAAGGGCAACATTTAAATCAAACTTCAGATGCTCAGTCAAAATAGCACTTTGTGTTTCTTTTTTAAATTTCTCTACCCGCAACTTCAATGCCAACTTCTGCTCCTCCAATATGTGTTTATCTGAAGGTATTTCTGAGCCAGGGTGCATAATCTTATGCATTAGTATTTCTTTTTTATCTTTCTCGTTCCATGCTTGCAATTCTTTATGGAGATCTTCCAATGCCTCAAAACCATTTGATTTGCCCTCAGCATAATCACGTTTGCGATCCTCTTGTTTCACTTTGAGAAATTTATCAATTATTTCTTCTATGCTTGTGGAACCATAGGAGCACGATTTTCCACTTGGTCTAAAGAGCATAACACCAACATCTGCTCCAGTTTGAGTTGCAAACTTATTTGCATCTTGGAACAAAAAAAAAAGCTTTTTGAGAAACTCACCATACGTACTCTCCCAGACTCAATCAACTTCATTTCAATTTTTTGCTTGCCTTTTTTGGTCTCATTTTCCATTGGAAAAAATATAAAGAATAAAGTAAGATGTTTTTGTTGAATAAGACTTAGCAATTTTAAGAGGAACATTTGTGTAATTTATAGTAGGTGCGTGAGTGTACTCTCATGAGTATTGTAATGTTTTGTAGTTATGAGTCTAGCTAGCTATCACGTGTATTGTCATGTTTATTTAATGCTTCATATTATGATCGAGTCTATCTATCACGTGTATTATCATGTTTGTTTAATGCATTCATATTATGAGTCTATTATCACATTTATTTAGTATTTTCATATTATGCAATTTTATTGCAAGATTACCTTGTAACTCAACAAAAATTCTAAACTTGCAAGGTAATAATTTTGAATTGAATTTAAAGACAAATAAAACATAAATAATGCTTAGGTATATAATGTTAATTCGAAAGGTGGACCAATTGGAACAATAGTACAGTTATCTCTTTGTGACCTACATGTCATAAGTTCGACTAGTATGAGCAACCACTAATGATAGTATCAATTGTGCATCACAAACCAAATCCTTATCAAGAGGTGATTATACTAATCTAAATAACAAGATTCAAATCTTATGCCTCTATAAGAAATCTCATCCCAAGAATACTACTTCTTACAAATGCATTCAACAAAACTTTGAGTCATAATAAAGAAGTACCTAATGCATCTTGCATTCATCCTCATGTTATAAACACCACATTCAAGCCTAGAAATATAACCACTCCATGAACTCCTACCTAACTAATCCTTCTAAGAATTTCTCATTCTCTCGACATCTCTACCAACTGAAATTTCACATATTACTACCAAGAAATTGACTAATTACTCTTATCTAACTATTACTCATCGTAAAATCTCATCTCCTTCTTCCTCCACATTTATAACCTAAGATGGAATAAGCACACCATCACTACCATACTAAGAAACATCAATCCTCTCCTATCTATCATCACACAACTACTATCATTAATCACTCGCAAAACTAACAAAGATCACTGAGGGAGTTAAGCGAAGGATCATATGCACGATTCATTAGAGAAATCTGAATGAAAAATATGAATGATGTAACATTATGTTTCTAGCCATTGAGATTAAATCATGAATTCGCGAGACTGAGCATACTATGAGACATGAGTGCTTATATGAATAGGTTCATATTATAAGGCTAATATCCATAACTTTATAGAGTAAGATTGAGATCAATTAGCTAAAGGCTTTGCCCTCACTAGAAACACAATAGGATGTTATAATGACTGGACTTTGAGGAACACACTAGAGTATGAATGGATTGATATAACACTATAACTCTTTCTGAACACGTCACTATCTGATTCTTAAGCTTGACTTGGTTTCTCATCTTATCATCTCCCCTTTAGGTCTAAAGCTGATACTTTAAGGCTAAGGATCTATTCCATTTTTCCTAAATTAGTATATATTCAATCTACTCTAATACTCAAGAAAAACTAATCTCATGGCTACTAAACTTTCCATGTGCAGGTACTGGCAAATTATTCATTTTGTTAATAAATAGAAAGAAGCAGAATCTCATCTGCCAAAACTTGAATCAAGAGATAGAATTTCAATTGCTATGGAAGATATTGTAACTTCTCGTGTTTGGAACATGAAGTATAGATGTGTAGACTCAATTTTAATGGAGATGACCACTAGTTTAGTTAGATTTTTCCCTTATAAGAACAAAATATTAGTCCATGTTTAGCCAAACTGCAAATCAATTTGTGATTTATTTATTTATTTGGGTGTTCTAGATTTTGGCCGAATAACAAGAGCAGGATGTACGTTCTGGAGAAAATAGGTAATATAAACACATTCCACTATGATCCGGCTAACATCTTACTAAAAAATACTTCCGATGTGTTTCAATTTGTTTAACCTACTTTTTTTTTTAGTCTGTTTCAAGAAGAATGACTCTTCCTTTTACAAAATAGAAGTTTCATATTATTCGTACACTTTAACATGGAGCAGTAAATCATTTGACTTGATAGTATAAAAAATTGCACAAGTTAGCTAGCTGAATGACATTCATTGATAAATAAATGTATGGTTCTCCAGGAGATTTTTGTCAGATATTGTCACGCCCTGAACTCCACCCTAGGAGTGACATGGCACTCGAAACTCCATTAGGCCCGAGAGAGCCAACCAACCTATTTAACCCGACTAATTCAATATAAATACCAATTTAAATAATAATGCAGAAAGTAAGGCCCATTTCAATTAACCTTTGAGAGAATTCAAAAGAGGAAAAACCAATTCAACTCTTAAATACAAAACCAAATCCAACTAACCACAGATCTACGAAACCTCTACTAACAAAATAACAATGTCTACATCGAGACATGGCCCCCGACATACCATGAAAACCAAAGGGAAGACAGATAAAGAAAAGTATGCTTTCCAAAAGATGGAAAGCTCACCACAACGCTGATTGTTATCCCTCAATCATCTACTGCTGCCTTGAACCACGGACTTGTGTCTCTGATCCTACATCATGAAATGATGTAGTGTCGGAGGACGGTCAATACGGCCAATACTAGCATGAAAACCAGGGAAAAGGATAAACGGTATACATACATAAAACATAACCATAAAAGAAAGGCAAAATCATAGGTACAAACCCAAAGCATTTGGACATAGACCTTTCAAAATCATTAATCATGAGTAAGGTAGTATTCACCGACATAATGCGACCCACAGACTATAAGGGTCTGGCCTCCGCCCGTCCGAGGGCTCCAATCCATGTATGTCATATGAATTTAGGAAGTATAAGAATTTGGTAAACCAAACTCTCCCAAATAAAAAACTCTAGAGGCTACTCCGATTTAACAACCTACAATAGCCATCCATATTTCAGGACAGGGACCTCCCACGCCGGCAAATGCGGTTTCGGGTGATGAGTCACAAGGACTTTACACCTTCTCGGTGATACTACCAAACTCCATTTAAGCCCCTAATTAAAACATTTACAAGTTTTCATTTATTAAGAGTTATCCGAATAAGGCATATTCCCATTGGTATCGTCATGCCAATACTTGCAAGCTATTCAAACCATGCCAATTTCATAGTTAGCCATTTAAAACTCTTCAGTCGTCGTTTAAAACCAAAGACTCATTTATGTTAAGATATTCCATTCAATGTCAGCTTTACGTTTTTTACTGATGCAAGTAGTAGAAACAGATTTTTTAATGATTTTCTACTATCGGTCATATTATACAATCTATAAGCAAAAATAAATTTGTAGTGATCAATCTATCAACCACTAGTCTATTAACTAAACAAAAAAGTACTCTATCAAACAGTGGAGGAGGGAGGATTTTCATCAAGGGGGTTCAAAAAAATTAATCATGTAAATAATATCCACAAATAAACGGGTCGAATCGGATATAAATGGGTCGGATTAAACAGTCGAATCAAGAAGAAAAGGGTTTTTTTAATATTTGACTTTATAATTAGGGATTAAACTAATAAATCCTAAATTCCCAATCAGTGTTTTAATTTTTTGGAACTAAACATCGATTTCTGATTGCATTATTATTATTTTTTAAAAATAAAACGCCTAAAATATAAGCTGATAAAAGAAATGCCTCTGCCCGGATTCGAACACGCGACCTCACGTGCAGTAGAGCAAATTCCTGAACCCCCAACGCCACTGAGCTACGCCTTTGGTGTATGTTTAGGGGGTTCAATAGTATATATATACACGTATATTACAAATTTAATCTTATATATATAGTGTAATTTTTCAACGAAGGGGGTTCGGATAAACTCCCTTCGTTCAACGTAAATCCGCCCCTGCTATCAAACATGC